ATGCCTCCATTTTGATTTTTCTTAGACATGAGGGTTTTGACTATTCGAGGTTTTTTGTTGAGAAATTATTTTTTAATGAAGGGAATGCCTCCTGTCAGTAATTACTTTGTGTTAGTATTTTAAATCAAAAGCCCACTTTAAAATGACAAATGTGTCCAAACGAATTAAAAATACGACCAAATCAATCTTTTTTAAGAGCGTCATTTATGCATACAGAACTGGGGTACAGGCCAGAGGTACACCGGGAGTGAGAGGATTCACCAGAGACAGAGTGGGGAGCAGAACAGGCAGATGTATGAAGTACACTGCTGAGGGGAGCTCCGGGCAAGACAGGTGAGGTCTGCCATGCCATGTGGGTCACTTCTGGGGCTGGAGATTGAATTTGCACTGAAACGACTGCAGCTAGCTTGCAGTGCTGTGTCCTAACCCAGTATGCTACCAGGGAATGCCCCAAATTAATCTTACCTATATGACACTCAACACAGATTGCAGTGCACCATGAGGAATGTAAGGATGGAACTAGGTTCTGTGAAAACTGATGATACAAATGGAGTTGTGTTGATCAAATGAGTATCAGAATATGAACTGACTCTATATCATTACAAAATGAAAAGAAATGTTCCAAGAAAGTACTACAGAACTAGATGCAATATTACAATGTACCAACATTATGTCTCTCAATGTGGGCTCCACACAAAAAAAGAACTAAATGCAAAAGAGGAAAACAATACAATTCAAGGAGAGATTCAGCCCCAAGAAAATAAAAGAAAATAAAGCATAAAGTCAGTGCAGGACCATGAAAGTGAGATGAATCACTCACCAGAGCTGCTCTCACAAAGGCATGAGGACTCTGCAGGGGGCACTGGGAGGATGAAAGGAGTCAGCAGGGGAGGACTGAGGCAGCTCCCACCTGGATTCTGGAGTCTCCTGACCAGAGCACTCCACACACTGCTGGGAAAGACCAGTCACCTGGGTGACGGTGTGCTTACACTTTGAGAAGAAAGTACCCAGACGTCCATTCCAGATAAAATTCAGACTTAATATTTACTATAACTTAATACAAACACAAGCCTTGAGGGCCTCACTGGGTAAACAAGCGGTTAAGTCTCACCCCTAGGAAGCTGTCGGCAATCACACCTGTGTGAGTTCGATCCCCCTTGGGGCTAACCCCCCTGGCCCACAAACCCCCGTTTCCCTGCCGCGCCCCTCAGCAGTGGGTCTCAGAAGCTCCAACTGTTCTACTGCTGCTCTTTCAAAAACCCTGGTACTTCCTGCTGACTAACAGTTCATGCTATGAACGAAACAAAAATCTCAAGGATGACTCATCACATCCACAAATTTTGGCCACAATTTCTTAGGAAAAGATGCACTTGCTGTGCCCTTTACAGGACGCTCGCAGAAAAGGTCCTGAGTCGTGCTTGCGGGCTCACCTCCTTGCAGACTCTTGTCGACGACTTGGATTTGCCCCGGATGTTTGGCCAAGGGGACCCAGTGTGCACGTGCACAGGCTGGCCCGGCCTTCCCCGGGTCTCGCCTTCTGGGACAAGTCACCTGGGAGGTCACCGGGTCGGCCTGTCCAGGCACAGGGCCGAGCACACCCCGGCCCACCACCCAGAAGGCGGGAAATCCCCCACCCGCCTCAGTCAGGGCTCGAGAGCACCGCCTCTAGGGTCATCGAGCTCCCCGCAGCGGCCCGCAGGTAAACCCCCAAGGCAGACGCCCCTCCCAGGACCTGCTTCCCGCAGGCGACCTGAGAGGCCGTGATGTGGGGGGCGGGGTTTTTCCGCAGAACTCGCCGCGACGCCCCCGGACCGCGCTACACAGCCCCACACTCAGGCGGGCG